TTTATTTATTTACTTATGAGAGAGAGAGAGAGAGAGAGAGAGAGAGAGAGAGAGAGAGAGAGAGAGAGTGGTGTGTGTGTGTGTGTGTGGCTAGCTCAGCCCACCAGGGGGCGGGGCTGGCTGGCATGTGGTGCTGGGGATTGAACCGCGGTCCCTGTACTTTGCTTAGCTTAGCTTGTTCTAAGTAGGTGCTTTAGACCACTGAGCCATTTCTCCAGCCCCTATCTTGGCCTCTTGAAGTAATTTTTGCTTTCTAGATTCATTTAAAACTCTCTTGGGAAACTTCCTTTGGTCTTTTTGAGACAGGGTTTCACTATGCAGTTCAGGAAGGCCTTGAACTCACTTTGTAGCCCAGGCTAGCTGGCCTCTAACTCAATTGCAGAGATCCTCCTGCCTCAGCCTCTGGAGTGGTAGGATTACAGGCATGCACCGCCACTCCTGGCAAACTCTTTGGTCTAAAGTTTACTCTTGGGTGTTATAACCTGTGCAATTGGTTCCAATTTTGTAACTCTGTATGCTTCCACTGTAACTTTATCAACTGTTATAACCTGACATATGCACCGCCATCTTGTTCTGTATGGCCATCATTCTGTATGCGCCATTCTAAATGCTGTAACTTTCCACTGTGCCCCTTCTCTACTCGAGAACCTGCATTTGGACCTTTCTCATGCTGTCCTTTGTGCACACCTGAATCTAGTTCCGGCCCAGTGCCCTGTTCTTGACCTCGTTCCCAGCTACAAACTGTACCCACCACTGCACCTGTTATTGTTCATTAGAAACAAGTAATTTTTCAACTGTAGCCCCTAGATGAACCCTTGACGTCAGCTTTTGTGGTTTATTGGCTTAAATACCCACTCCCCTCATCCTCTTGGCGCATACCTCAGCATCTTGCTGGGGTGTCTGCCGCTGGGTACCAGCTAAAATAAAGCACTTCTTTTCTTTTCCAGCCTGCCTCATTTTTGAGTTACAGCATTGGGCGGAACCAAGGATTAAACTCGGGCTCTTGCACTTGCCAGGGAAGTGCTTAATCCACTGAGCTATCTCCCCAGCCCTAACTCTTGGGCTTGTCTACAGGTAAATTCTTGTAACTGAAGGCATCCCCAGACTCCCCAAGGCAATTGTCTTTAGACGTCAGCCAATACCTGAAAAATGCAAGTGTTCATGGTAGATAAAGACCTAACTCCCCTTCACACACTTTTTGTTTTGTTTCACGTGGCAGCGTGTTCAGGGACCCTGCCCACCCCGCACGCTAAGAGAGGAACTGAATTTCACCAAGGCTTAGCGAGCTCCCAGGCACAGCGTCTGCCTCCACCAGGCTGGAATGAACCATCTAGGTCGGGGCGGGGGATGGGGTGCAGAGGGGACGAGTATGCTGTGCGCAGTTGTGGGAACTGCAGGCGTCCAGCAGCGCAGGAGAGAGGACTTTGGGAAAGGTATTGCCGGAAGGGGCTTCTGCCACGGTGGACTAGCGCTGGGGGGAAGGCCTTTAGGCGTGTAGGACTTCATCCCCCCTCCTAGTGGATTCTAAGGCGAGACGCGGGTCCCCAGTTCCCGCGAGCTTTTTCCACACTGGCCGCTAGGCTGGGGAACTTGACCGGATGGGGGCGGGGTTCGAGATCTTGGAGTAGTGGTCTTGAGACTCCGCATTTCAGGCAGCGCCCTCCTTCCTGGCTTCCGTTTTCTCCCTGCGCTTTCAGTTCTGGGGCAAATCGCCGCGCTCTTCCCAGCTCGCATCCCGCTCCAGGCTTCTTGGGACTGCACCGGTACGGCCACATGGCCGACAAGAAACTGGTGGTGGTTTTTGGAGCCACAGGTGAGCAAGGCCAGAGCACGCAGGATTTTGCCGGTCCTGCAGAGCCGGGCCCACTCGCCTCGGAGCCGGAAGGGGGTTGGGCTGAGGTCCTCGGGCCCACCGAGGCGGGGAGGCGGGGCACACGACTGGGATGCACATTACTAGTGAATTTTAAAAGTTGGGGGCTGAGGATATAGCTCAGGGGCATAAGCGCCTGCTTGGCAAGTGCGAGGTCCGGAGTTGGATCCCCATACATAAAAGTAAATTTAACTGGACTTGGTGGCACATGCTGGCAATCCCAGCCACCATACTTAAATGTGAGGCAAGCCTGGGTCATTTATTTTTTATTTATTTATGTATTTATTTATTTATTTTTTTGCGGAACCAGGGATTGAACTCAGGCCCTTCCTTGCGCTCGCCAGGCAAGTGCTTATTCTACTGAGCCATTCCCCGGCCCCAAGCCTGGGTCATTTAGCAAGATCCTGCCTCAAAATGAAAAGGGTTGGGGGATGTAGCTTGGTGCTAAAGCATATACAAAGTATGTGTGGGGCCCTGGGTTCTAAGTAGCAACAACAAGAAAATGATTGGAGAGGATACCAGATTTAAAATTTTCTACCCGCCTCTTCCATCGGTTACCAAGTTGCTCCATTACAGTACAGGTAACTGACCGGGAACTTTTGGAATGAGAACTTTTGGAATGAGCTGCACTGATTGAGAATTGAGACAAGGTCTTGCTCTATAGTTCAGGCTGATCTTGAACTAGCTGGGTGGCCCAGGCTGGCGTTGAACTCACAGTGATCCTCCTGTCTCAGCTCTGGAGTGCTGGGAGTACAGGTGTGTGCCATTACACCCACCTGGTGATTTTTATTTGACA